AACTTTTTACCTTGCTAGGTGGAGCACACGATGCACTATAAACCCACTAGAATTCAGTCGTATGCGCTCAGAATTCAGCGCTCTCCTGTGATAGCACTCGAAAAGAAGGAAGCAACCAAAAAATAACAGAGATAAGGAAAAGGATTTCCCATCCTCGAGGAAACTTCTTTCTCAAGGCATAAACTTGCGATCATCCCAATCAATAATTTTCAGACCTCTAACGAGTAAGCGACTATATACAGTGTTTGCCGAACGATTTTCAGTGCACTATTTTTTCTCGCTTGAGCAACGCCCTCTAAAGATTGATATACTATGTTTTCTAGTGTTTTTATATCCTCAAGCCTTAAAGAATCAGGATGTTCAAAAGAAATTTCGAGGCACCATTGATTTTTTCTGGCAAAAAAAAGAGAAGCACGGAAAAACGTTTCGGCGACACTTTGACCGCTACTGTTTATAATCGTTATTAAGCTAAGTAGTCAACGATATCTCGTCTGGAAGAAAGTGTAAATCCTGAATTTTGAAAAACAACAAGTATAGTCACTGGTACTCTTCATAGCACGATGAGCTGCTTATAGAGCTTTTTACTAGTACTCTTTTTCTACCTAGCGTTAATCCCGCCCAGTAGTAGGGTCCGCTGGAAGAATTCTCTGCTATAAATCATAAGTGTTTTAAAATGAGTTCTGTGATTGGCTTCTGAATGTATGCTTCGTGAGGTTTTACTCTATTGATTCCCTAGCAGACACTCAGTGAAAGCAGTTGTTTATGTGCTCTTGCAGGTACCAGACAGGAGAAGTGTTGCTGATCTTCGTCGCCATATCACGTCTCAGCTGGAAATGAAAGCGCCAGAGTCGTCGAGGGGTCCTAACCGGGCGGAAGGTGAGCGTCAGTATTCTGAATTGAATGATAACATTATCAAAAGGGCCGCTGACTACAACGTTTTTCCTCCTATGAGCGCTTCAGGCCACATTATTTTTGCTTCAAATTCCCTATGAGATTCGGTCGCAATAAACGAAGTTGGCCGCTAGCGATTTAATAGTCAAGGGCCTTTCAGACTCTCATGCACTGACATTTTTATCGCTTATTGTATTACATTTTAGGCCTCGTAAAATGCACTGTGGTCCAGCTCCCTTGCTGCATTGGTCTATTAACTCCGCAAACTGAAATCCAGTACAAATTCTCTTTCGCCTCCTTTTTTCTTCGTTCGGGTACACGTTAATTCACTTTTCAAGAAAATTTAATTCCTCTCTATACGATTCTCCCCAAAAAACCGCCGCACCCTCTCCAAAAAATCCTAAAAGTTGGTATTGCAAGAGTTGAGGTTTTGCCGATATAAAAGCCCACGCAAGAGACGTCCAATCCGACGAAGGCCATTTTACTAACCGTCCTTCTTTTCGTTTGTGAGCGAGAAACATGAAGCAGCGGTTCTCCCTTACAAAAGCAGAGCTAATTTGCCTCTTGAAATATTCCCTTTGGAGTTCGGAATTTGTCAGTAGCCTCTGGGTAACATTTAAATTTCAGCTGCCGATTCTCCGGTGCCTTCTCGACAGTTTTTCCGACACAACTTTGTTAAAGCATGACGTGCGACCCTGAGAACAAAAAAACGTATTTTGGACGAGTTTTAGACGACCGTCGTTGCTTCTGCCTGACAAACTTCGTACATAGGAGTAAGTGATGCTATCAAGTCTAGATGATCAGAGAGTCGCTTAGATTACGTTCTTCAGGTCATGCCAGCAAGTCTCATCCAACCTCTCGTACCGGCTTCTATTCCAACACCAGACACCAAACCTCCGTCTCCTATGCCGAAAACAGGGTCGAAATTCTCCAAACGAAACTCGTTCATAAACCGACTTGCCAGGGAGTCCTCACCGGTCGAGAATCACGACTATGTTCAAGACGAAGATCTACGCAACGTAGAGCACACAGCCGACAGCCCACGGCTCACCCAAAACGATAACGGAATCGGTTACCGGAGAAATTGAAAGCCGTCGAGACCTTCTTCTTCCACTCACGAACTACAGCCGATCACACACGACTCCGCGCCCACCGAACGCTCCATGCACTGAGAAGAGCTTTGATAACAGTCCTTCTCAGGGCGGCTGCTGCTCCTACTGAAATGATCGACCACGCAAAGTGAGGCAGATGAAGTCGCCTGTTACTCCTGTGAAAGATGAACTTAAGAGCAGTTTCACAGAAAACAGGTAATTCTTTTTGCATGCTTTCCATGGCACTTTCACTGAAAATCGTTTCGGCGACCACTTTTGACCGCTAGTGTATTATTTAGTAACTATTGGTATAAGGGGCTGAAAAGGAAGGACCCACTTATAAACAAATCTGCACATTTTTGACAGCTTTTATCTTTTGCTCAGAAAGTTGGCTGAAATTGAGCAGCAACTTTGAGAAGAAGGTTTTTTGCACGTGTCCGAGCGGATTGCCTTACTCATACCAGATCCGGAACACGTCATGCGATTAAACAGGAGCTGTTGTTTGGCCATCAATAGTCATAAATGTGTCGCTCACGGCCCGTGTTGACTTTTCACCTTTGCTACGTGTTTATCATACGGCTCCGCCCAAACTGATAAGAATTCGTTGCAGAATGCCTGATTTGCTCAAGTCTCGAAGCCCAGCACCATTCTCCTACTCAGCTTCACCAAACCCGGAGATTCTCTCAACGGCAGCCGTTCAAGATCTTACAAGCAGCCTGACCGAAGCGCTTGCTTCCTTCTCGAAAACGCCTCCAGCTTCTAACGTCACAAGTGATAGTGGTTACGATGGCGATGGTGCCCTGCAGCAGACACCGCAGGATCGTACTCCCAGGACAGAGCAATCCTTTTCTGATCACAAATTTGACACGATTTCGAGCACTGAGAATTGGTCACGGTCGACCCAAGAGGCGATGCCTTCGATTGCCCCTATGGGTTCAGAAGGTGGGCGACAAACGAACCAGGGAAGTCTGCCGAGAGGTTCGGAATTGCCCGCCTCCTCGGTTCCCATCGAAGCCGGCGCCGACCCGACAATGTACGACAAATTCCTGGCCGGTCCCTCCACCCACACGCCGGAGATGTCGCTCTGGTATAAGAATATGTTCAAGAAAATGCACAAGATCGAGTCTCCTGCCGGTGAGTTTTTTTTCAATAAATATTTCTTTAAATTTGCTTTCTTCTGCATGGGAAATATTATTAATGGTTGGGTAAAGTAAAGGTAGAAGAATTGTAAACTACGGGTTTAATGGAGCAATACATCTTAGAGGTTCATCTCTTTTTCTTTCCTTGCTTACCTTTTTTCTTTTT